ACTCGAACCCGCCCCGCTGCCATCCCTACACACACACTACTGAACTTCTGGTGTATGTTATTGGAGAAATAGGATAGCAACTCGATTGTTACACATACGGTAATGAATGGTAAGGCAACGTAAACCTTTCCTCGATTGAGCTTCACCTTGGTAAGGTTATGCCATCTTAAGGTCTAAATGGATGGATCATATCCATATTTGTAAATCATGGATTGATCCGTCAAATCATAAATAATTGGATGCTATCATACCCGTAAATAGCCTTTAATTAGAAAATAAATTTAACCCACACATGATAGAGTGCATTGCAGACAAATTTAAGTAAATAATTATGTCCTCTCTTAGAGTATAAGCCTTTGGATGACGTAATTCAAGGATATATACGGGAGATTTGTTCCTTTTTGAAATGTCCTGCTAAAATTGGTGACTTCAAATGGACATCTACTTGATAGATGCTCGTACTCTTCTCTGACTAGTTTTTCTTATCTATAAACCAGAATGGATTTATGTTCACTTTCTGTACTTTGATTGAGATTATAAATCATACTAACTAATATTGAATAAATATTTATCAGAATTCGTCTGTCAGCTACAAAGCCCTTTTTTTTTGGTCGCAAGTTAGTAATGGATTCGTATAAATATGTTGCTGAGCATCTGAGACGATATCAGTGACAAATTTGAAACGTAATAACTTTCTTCATGTGTATAGAAAGTATAATACTATAAGAAACATGGCTAAATTGAGAATACCTTGTATTACTATGAGAAAAGCAAAAATAATGAATCTTTGAACATTAATCAGACTAATCCCATGTATCCTTTTGTACCTCAGGAGCAAGCCTTTATTACATTCTCTCATAATTCAGCTTATCTGACTGCAAGTAGCATAATCAAGTCTCAGTTTGTCACTAATGGGTATACTAAGAGCATTAAAGGTTTGATGATGTTCTATGCTATTTTTGGTACAATGTGTTGGACGAGATAGCTTATCAAGTATATCACGTCTTTCTTCTGTAATTTTGAGTATTGTCCAATTTAATGTACTATAAAAGTGTCTGAAAAATGGTAGCAGTACCTGGATGAGCATGTCTGTGGGGAGCCAAGCTGGTGCAGTTGGTATTCCTACCCATGCTATCTGCAGGAATGCTAAAACCTTAAAAAGTTGAAGAAGACAGTTTTCGTGATGCAAGGCCTAGACTTGAAGACTTGATTAATATTCTATATTTGTTTCACAAAAGTTGACTGCCAAAGTATATTTTCTTCGGGTCTTCGACATAACCAACAACATGATAATATCTTTTATAGATTAGGACCAGTTACATGAATCTATTTCCTTATTTTTTTCAATCTATCGCTGCTTAATCTATCAAAATATCCTCCCTAGGAACATACTGCAGCCCAAGGTGGTGAAGAGCTGACATGGAGGTGCCAAACCTTTCTGTAAATACCTTGCTTATAGATGGGAAGAAAAGTCGACTAAAATGTATTTCGTTCTAGTTGTAATCAACTTGAAATGTCTTGGACAATGAAGTATTCTCCAAAAGTTCTAACATATGAATAAGCCATCTTCAATTCTCATCGACTACTATTATATTATCAATGAATAACATACACCAAGACATCTAATAAATATAGAATCCATTAGTGACACAGGGCTCCCAATGAAAGTCAAGGCAACAGACTTATCCATTGAATCACTTTATCTAAAACCTTAAACTATTCAAGATGATCGGCAACTAGCAAACAAAGACTTTTATCCATTATAAACATATGATATGTATGCAATTTTTATAGAAATGCAAGAAATAATACAGAACTGGTAATAACAACTCACAAGCGCGTATTCTCCTGTTTCAAAGAAACGCAAATCCAGCACCTAATACAAGAAGAAAGATTGATATCAAATATTGAAAATAAGAGCAAAATGGGTTACCAAGTGAATTCTAATTAACTTTCTTTCCATGTGCAGGTCAGAATCATTTATTCAAATAATGGATACCTCTCCACGGTCTTCATATATGTAGTCCAGGCCTTTGTAATAAGGAGGATGCCCCACAGATAAATACTGGAATGCAAGAAATATCGATATTAGATTCTGTAAATGACTAAGAAAATCATGATAGTAGAAGAATCATGTTAATTTGTAGATTAGTCCAAGGAATGTAGAACGCAATAAGTGGATTTTTCATTCAAGGAAGATAGATATAACACAAGAACGACAAACTAAACCTTTTTCTTGCAAGGAATTTGGGATTGATTACATGAATCTTTTTCTGTAACTAGGCTCAATTCAGTGCTAGACGACTGGTCCGAAACAACTAGATGTTGAGGAACTACAACTCTTCACTTCTTTGTCTATTGTTCTTTATCTTCTAAAAAAGGAGTTTGTTACAATTACTGAAACATTCATTACAATGTGACCCGAACATTAAGAACATCAAGACTCAAGTTTTTTCTCTCTTCTTCTTATAAGTAAGCTTATAAGCCCGAATATGGTCGCATTGATAGGGTAACAATTAAAGGGGGATATCTGATTTTCTCATACTTTCATATAAATTATTATTATTATTATTTTTTTTAAGTACTTCATCCATCATCAATTACCCATCAATCCAGATACGAGCATCTGAGAAAAAAATTAAAGGTATTCGAGAAAATACTCACATTTACACTGTTGAGATATTTGTCCTTGTCCACTCTCACAATCTGGCCCTTTTTCACTGCCAAATTAGTGAAAAGAAAATTAAAAAATTAAATCAAACCCTTTTTATTTTTATTTCTTTTTGGTTTTAAATCAATACTCACTAGAATAAACAGGTTTTTTGGGCTTGGGAGGTGCTGTAACAGCGGGTTTTGCATTGGACGATGAACTCTCTTTTGCTTCAGTCTGGGCAATCTTCTCATTCTGTGGTTCAGAGGATTTCACAGCTCTTACCAATTTTAAGTGCCCAGTTGGTATTTTTCTAGGGTATTTTGAGAATGTTGATAGGCATGAGAATGAGCTATGTGATAGAGCTGCAGAGAATGCCATGGAAATTTTGATTCAGAAGTTCGTCACTGCTCATTCTTTTCTAGATAAGGGTAGTCTTATTGTTGAGCTCTAAAGGCAAGGTTTCCACGTGTATGTCTAAGGCATTTAAATTGACTGGACGCTTTTATTTATATTTATATTTAATTATAACTTACTTGACCTGGCGTGCCTTTAATTACGTATAAGCCATTTTTTTAAAATTTTAAATGAATAAATATTTTAGAAGACGTGTTGTAAGTTGTAACGTTGTTGCACACATAGAACGTATCTAAATCCACATAAAGTAGATTTAAAAAAATGAGTTTATAAATTATCGAAATTGTACAATGCAAGATTATGATACGTAAGGGTATTTCTAATACAATCACCAAAATTTGGTACAAAAACTCTCCAATGTTGCACCAAAGTTTGTTCCAACTCCAAAATGGTGCAAAGTCAAATTTACTTTTTTTTTTTTTCATTTGTCAAAGTAATTGATGGAAGGTATTTGTGTTATATATTTTTTAATATAATATAATAATAATAATAATAATAATAATAATAATAATAATAATAATAATAATGATGATGATGATGATGATGATGATAATAATAGTAATAATAACAACAACAGCATCAGCAACAACAACAACAACAACAATAACAATAATAATAATAATAATATTATTATTTAAAATAAATTTTAAACGTAAAAAATAATATTTAATGAATTAATTAAAATAAGAATACAAAAAAAATTAAAATGTAACAAATACAACTATTTAAAGTTAACACGAAATATATTAAAACAACCACCACTTGCATAAATTAATCTAGTTTTATTTAAATAAAATGATACATAAAACAAGTGAATAGTGTAGTAATCTAAAAGATCACTTCTAGATCTTCCAATATCCTCAAAATAATTTCCAAAAAAATCAGAAAAACTTTTGCATCCTATATCTTGTTGTTGAGCTCTCTTTTGTAAAATTATTGCTTGTACGTTTTGAAAGAATTAACGTAAAATTCTTTCTTGTTCGTTTTAAAATTCTTGCTTGTTCGTCATAATATCCAAATTCGAAATGCATTGCACTATTTTTTAATGAAATGATTTAATATTTTCATTTTTGTAGTGTTCTACTAATTGTATTGTATTTTTATATTTATTAATGAATTTAATCTTTTCCTTAATTTAACGTAATTATTTATTTAGTAATTTATCTATTTGTAAAATAAATAAACAAATATTTTTTCAAATAAATAAGTTATTAAGAATAAAAAAAGAAAAGAAAATGATTGAATACTGTTCATTTGGCGTGTTTCGGTGTAATGGTTGGAGATAATTTTTAATTTGGTATAAAATTTGATGCAAAATGATTTTGGTGTAGGGTAGGAGACGACCTAAATGCTCATAAAAATTTTCAGTATCATCATTTATGGAGGGATCATGATATCAAGTTATGAACAAAGATAACATCAACCTTACTCATTACAACTTAGTATGAATATAGTTATAGCCAATTAAATATTGCAAAACCAAGTTCAGTTTCATTACTTCTAAATTTCATGTCAAGTATGATCGAGAGAAGAACTTAGGAGATGCACATATGAAATCTTGTTATCTGGATGAACCAGCAGTATTATGGGGACATGAAGAAGAAATAAATGAAGTTCTATGTAAGAGTTAAAAGCTAAACTTTAATATAAAAGAATTGACACGTTGACGACTGCTAAGTACATTCGATGTTAAGAATGTAAATGCTGAAGGCATACCAGCTACATTTGCAAAAATTTATCAAGACAATCTGTAATCATTACCTAAGAGTAGCACATGACTGTGTTGACCTATGGTTCATTCTAACAAGTTAATTTTATTTTCTAACGATTAAATTTGAGTAATTGTAGTTTTCAAAGTATTCAATGATAAATTGATCGATTGTCGTCAAAAGATCAATATCAAGACTACCAAATCACACTCACAATAAAGGCCAATATAGAAGTCATCAATTAATTCAAGCATTTAAGACGAGCTTAAAAGACAAAACATTAAAGAGAGATCAAGATCAATAGCTTAAGAGCCAAACGTCAAATAAAGATCAAGATGAGAGCCTAAAAACAATGCTTCAACGAAATGTCAGAGACTAGGCTTTCTTATATCAAATGTAAAGGCACCTTGATCCTTAGCGATGAATGATAAAGGCTCAAAATTTATTTTGTGCACTAAAAGCCATTTTGATTATCAGTTACATAAAATATTGATCAAAAGTAAAATTAATTTCAAAATTATATTTGAACTTAGATCACATATTTAAAACATCATTTGCCTTGAAGACTAGTTAAAACTCATTTCAAAAGTCTATTGTCTATATTTGTCAAAATATTCAAATCAGATCAAACGAACAAAAAGGGAAAATTGGTCGAAGCGGCCCAAACGGACGGAAGTGGCATACATCTAGATTGATTGTTTGAAATCCCAAAAAACTGGATGTCCGATTGATGCAGCGTCGGATTTTTTACCGCTATGATTTCAAATGCATAATGGCTATTTTGGTCGTTCATATCCAAGGCATGTCCGGTTTGTTGTTAGGTTCGATAGAGTGTTTTACTTTTTGAACTCTATAAATTCCTCCACTCTTTCCATTCTTTAAAAAGTTTTTCAAGAGCATTCAGAAATATATAGTTTTACAGAATTCTTGAAGGCTAAATTGCGCTCATTTCATTTATTTCTTCGTATCGAAAACTTTGATTAATTCAAACTCTTTTCAATCATTTTAATTTAAGTTTTTCATATCTCTTTTTGTACTTAACTTACTTTCACCATTCATAAAAGAGAGAAATATTTTGAAAAATTGTTTTGAACTTACATTTCATCTATTTCTTTTACTTCTTTATATCGAAACTTTGATTAGTTGAATTAAACTTGTAAAATCATAATATTAATTAAAGTTTCTTATCTCTCTTTTGGGATTTAATTTATTAACATTATTCATTAAAAGAATTATATATTTTGAGAACATGTTTGAACTTATATTGTACTTATTTTCTCTTCATCTTCTCTTTGAAAAAGTTTTGATTGATTGAATTAAACTTTTAATTATTGTATTCATAAAAGTTTTCATATAACAATTGAGCTATCATTTGTTGTTATTCATTATATGTTGGTCTCTCTTAGTATATAATTCATTTGTATCATTTACTAAGAGATGATTTCACTATAAATGTTGTTATACTTGTAGGCCATAATGAGGTATCTGTAAAACTCAATATTATATAAGGATCAGCGCTCTTTATTTATAAGTCACCAGAAGTATTGTAAAGGGTTGGATTGCACCATAAGTTAATCAATATAGTGGAAAAGCCTTACTCGTTTCAGAGAATTTGGTAATGGAGGACATAGATCATTGCTTTGGATTGATCCTCCACAATTATATCATTTGCATCTTCTTTTCTCTTTTTACTTATCGATTTCATATTTATGCTTGTTATTTAAATTATCTATTCAATCTTTACCTGCTTGAATTTAGCTTAATTCATTGAAAGCATTTTGAAAACCAATTCATCTCATCTTGGTAATTCTTAGGTTATCAGTTGGTGTCAGAGTGAGGTGCTCATATTGTATTTAAAGATTAAATGATCTTGAGTAATGGCTAACCATAATTTTCAAAATTTGAGGGCATTTTACAAACTGTCCTCCCTTCTTTAATGATACACATTATAATTATTGAAAAGTTGGAATGATAATTTATGTTCAATTAAAAAATTATAATGTTTGGGAAGTTACTGAATTTGGTCCTTATGTGCCTGAATAGGTTATTAAAGTGTTTGGTAAACCGAATCAAAGTACGATGATGAAGATAAAAGGAAAATTATCGTTGAGTGCTAGAGTAAAAAATATAGTTTACTATGCTTTAGGTAGAAATGAATTTAATCATATTAAAACGTGTGATTTATCTTTTGATATTTGACACGCCTTAGAAGTTACTCATTTGGCCACTAGCAAAGTAAAAGAAATCAAACTAGATTTTTTGTTTAAGCAATTTCAAAATTTTTTTATGAAGCAAAACGAACCTATTGTTGATATGATTACTATTTTCACGGATGTTGTTAATGGCCTTAAAGTTTTCACTTATAAATCTATTAATGGTAAACTTGTAAGTAAAATGTTTAGATCTCTCTTAGATGATTTGAGATCATTAAGAATGTTGATGTAAAACACCAAAGATATCAACTCATATACATTGGAAGAGTTCTAGGGAATATTGATGATATATAAGATAAATCACACTGAAACAAAGGAGAAAACAATGAAACATAAAGAAGAAGAAAAGCAGTAAATTGCTTTAAAGTCAGTAATGGATGAATGCACTCAGGCAAAAATATAAACGATGAAGAATTTTCTTGCAAAAAATTGGAGGAGTCTACACAACAATTAGCGATTTGAAAGGAGAGAAGAAATGAGAAAACTAATAAAATTGTTTGCTATAATTGCGACAAATCCGATCACAAAAAAATTGATTGTCTGAACAAGAAGAAATTCTTCAAAAAGAAAGCATTCCAAGCCATATGGAATAAAAGTGCTGTGATGGTCATGACGCAAGTGAAAGTCAAGAGGAAGTTGCCAATATATGCGTCTTAGCTATTGAAAATGAGGTAAGTGAAAATTGTTCATATCAGGAGTTATCTTACTCTTAGGATGAAATGCTTAAAGAATTTGAAAAGCTCTCTTTCAATCATTCTATCCTGAAAAAGAAAATTTCTTTTTTGGAAATAAAGTAAAGAAACTTTTGAGAATTCAAAATGCTTTTGAAAAAGGAAACGTCAATTACGATTCTTTAATTAAGGATAGTTTATCTTTACAAGAAAAGATTTTAGATTTGATTCAAATTATTCACAAATTTATTGAAGGCAAGAAAAAGCCTCTTAATTTTAGATTTGAAAAATGAGGAATTAAATATAAATCATTTTAAAGTAAAAGTCCCTTAAAATTTTAATTGTTAAATTCTCTACTTCTCCTCTTTCAAATATTACATGTAGTTTTTGCAATAAAAATATACTTATGAATTTAATTGTTCAATCAAAAAGAGGT